TATTCTGTCATATTATACTATACTATATTATATTGTATTATATTATATTATTCTATATTATATTATAGTATACTATACTACATATACTGTGCTATATTATATTGTATTATATTATATTATGTTGTGTTATATTATGTCTTGTATTATACTATATATAACATATGATAGTATAGTATAGTATAGTATAGTATAGTATTGTATAGTATAGTATACTGTTCTATTCTATTCTATATTATTTTATATTTGTATTATATTATCGTATAGTATAGTATCTTGGTACTACAGTTGATATATAAATCCTTAGCATTACCTTATAAGGACCCTAAACTATGGGAATAATGGCTTTGTTCACCTTATTATGGGAAATGCAGGATTTATCTCCTCAACCGTAACCCCCGCGCCGAACAGAATCCCTCTGGAGACGCGCCAGTCACTACGAAACTCGTAGACGAACTGTGTCCTAAGCTGGAAAGCCCGGGTCCCGGCTGCGCGCAACTCGCCAAAGCAATGGCACTGCGTGTAGATCGCCGCCTCAGGGCCATGAAGGATCAGGGTTTAGGGTTTAGGATGCTTTCGGGTTTAGAGTTTAGGATGGTTTAGGGTTTAGGGAGTGGAAGGTAAGGCAGATGGTTGCAGCGCCATGGACGGGGCGCCGAACTGTCTCGCGAAAGAAGCTTGAAAAGGTAGTTCATGAAGCACCCAGCAGCAGATTCCCGGTCCCATACTCATAAAGCCCTTTCCACTCACTCGATCGACCGATTGACACGACACATGATGAGTCTGACAACTGCAAATGCATCCATGCGGCACTGGCTTCAGTGCTTCGACCAAACACATCAAAGTCTCAAGATTCCGAGCGCACCACAGCCCCGAAGCATCCGGGGCGCTGGCTGCCGTGATCCAGTGGGAGAAGAAATAGAGGATGCCAATGCGAGCGTAGCAGTCATGCACGGCCCATTCCTGCAGGAGGGCGTCGGAATGCCGGACTGCCGTCCCGGCCTCAACGAACCACCGAGATCCACCGAGGGACCCTTACTTACGGCTCCTGTTGCAGGCCGCGGTAGAGCTCGAAGTGCTCTGGATTCGCACCTGCTACTGCAGTCCGACATGTGCCCTTTTCGATCTCCGGGCTCATGGTATCTCTACGCCTGCCATAGGTTTTTTAGTTCGAGGTTTGCATTCCGCACGAACCTTGCCCAGCAGGCCTCCGCAAGGTTCGAAATCCCCATCCCCTGCACAGCTTGGGGTCCAGGCCCCGGGTGGCTGCCGGTGCTCCACCCTTGGAGCTGTGGAGATCCTCTCAAGCTTTCACCGAGAAAGAAAAACAGTAAGAACGTTGCACCATCCCACCGCCTCGGGAAATTTAGGCATTCTTGATACCCTGGCCATCTTGGCATCCAATGCTTGCTCTCCGGCCACGCAACACCCAAGTGTTCAAACTTTTCTACCTTCCAGTTCCAACAGGAGCAGCACACCTAGCCCTTGGAAACACAGTCATTCTACAACAAATAACCAACCGGAAACCACTGCATACACATGTGCTGGTCTCGAACAGGTTCCAGAGACTACGCCATGTTTGCCCCAAATCTGCAAGCATTCACCAGTGCTCCGATGGATGAATGCCGTTAGAATGTCCAACAGGGCATAAGCGAGGACAGACTACGCACATCCAACAAGACCTGACAAAACTCTGAAAGGGGGCATGGTGTCGTGGTCGAAGTCCTCGAAAAAACACACCATCATCGCATCAACGTGGTCACAATGACGGTCCCTAAGTCCTATCATCAGCGACATCGTCACCATCACCATCGTCACCATCATCATCATCAGCAGCAGCAGCCGAATCGCTATCGCCATTATCATCCCCATCATCGTTGTCGTCATCGTCGCCATCATCAACACCGTCACCATCATCACCACCATCATCAACAACAACATTCCGCCATCATCATCCGAAGCGCAGAATCAGAAGTGAGGCGGTGTCGAGAACGTGCGCAGTTCAGTCAGAAGCAATATCTGGACTTGCTGAAACCATCCACTCCTGAAACTCAAGCCCTGCAACGACGCTCCTTCGTCTCGTCTTGGTACCACTTCGGCATCCTCGTGAGGCAAGGGACGATGGTGCCCACGACACTCACGGCACAACGATCGCAGCACTGGTCACGGCCTCGGCCGACAAGGCCAGTAGCCACGAACAAAACAAGAACAAGACTGGAGTCTAGAACCACTACAGTGATGACCACAATGACAGCTCACCCCCACCACCACGGGTTCATGGCTGGGCGTTCCTGGTAACTTGCACCGGAAACGCGGGGGACAGTCCTGCGCTGGCTGCCGCTCTTCCCCTCCGGAGCTGCGGCGTTCTTCTTGGCCTGCCAGGGGAGAACTGACGGCTGCGGCCCCATGCAGAACCCCAAACTGGAAGGCGTCACTCAAAACTGGGGGTCCCAAGTCAGTCGGGCTCAAAGCGGACATAGGCTAAACTCGAAACCGATACAAGAAGGTCTTCTGCTCTCTAAGTGGAGGGCCGGGTCCGCGCCCTCCTCCGCCGAGGGCTCCTGGCAACGCTTCGGAAGGATCCTGGGCTCTTGGTTAAGGGATTTTATTAATTTCAGTTGCCATAATAGGGGTCTATAGTAAATAATAGGGTTTCCTTATTTGTGGTAGCTTAAATAGAATCCCCTGACAAGAACCCAGGATCTTCTACCAGGCTACCCGCTTCTTGTGACTGGGCCCTTGCGAAAGACAGAGACAGGCCGATCTCCGTCACACCGTTGCTTTGAGCTTCGTCAAGGTCTTTACAGCATATTATATTTTATTATACTGTATTATATTAGAGTATATTATGCTAGACAATTTATTATAGTATAATTATCAGGAATGTGTTTCGCCGCCGTCTCTCGGTTCCGATGCAGTCAGATTGTGTTTCCACTCCCTTTCCCAAGCCCCTGGGCGCCTTGGGTGCAGGCACGACAAAGGGAACTCGGAAGACGTCCGTGACCCGTTGCTTCTCAAACCTCATTGGCAACAAAGCCCACTTGATTCCAGGCTGATCGGAAGGCTGTGCGGCCACTAGCATGCACGCGTGCATGCATGCAGCCGATCATGCATCCATCCATCCGTCCATCCATGCATACATGCATCCATGAATGCATCCATCCATCTATCCATGCATGCAGACAGACCGACAGACAGCCAGCCAGCCAGCCAGCCAGACACGCACGCATGCAAGCACTTTGTATGCGTTTGTGCGAGGCAACTAGGTTTTCGCCCCCTCGCCCACCCCACCGAAATGGTGGGAAAGCTTCCGACGAAACCTGATATGTCAAGCTACACCATACACCAAGATGTCAAACTGAAACTTTGTTAGTGTGCTTTTGCCGGCGGCAAAACCCCTTCGCCCCTCAATGCTCCCCAACGACAGGACTACAGATATCCAAATGCGTGGGTTGAATGCGCAACCCAGCCCCATCCCAGGAGCTGCTCTCGTCCAAGAGACATATTTCCAGTGCGTCGCGCCTGCGCATGGTCTACGTCGGGAACGACTCTACATCGCTGGATGGCGTAGGTATTAAGCCTTGGGGTGGCATCTGAAGCTACTGGCACCGACGTCCCTCGATGCAACGCAAACAAGCTTCACACTGCTGGCGCCTCAAGAATCAAACAATTGGCATCCTAGGTCATCTCGCCATCGGCATGAACGCCACCATCACAGAAGCATGGCACACGGACTTGGCGACTCCGGGCCTTGTCAAGCTGCTTGGGTGTAGGGATGGGCAGACGCACCTTGGAGAAAAAAACGGCAACTCCTGGGGTTGAAGGTTTAGGGATCGCACAGCCCGTGTCATCTCTGCAAGATTTTGACGTCTCAACACAAAAAGGCCCGAAGACTTTCCAAAGCAAAGGCCATCAGAGGATGCCACGCTGCGCGTCAACATGTGGGCCATGCCAGCGGTGGCGCGAGCTGATGCCTCAATAGTAGTAATAAGAATAATAGTATTAATACTAATTAACAATAATAATAATGATAATAATAATAACAACAATACTAATAGTAATAGTAATAATAATAATAATAATAATGATGTTCGGCATCAGTTCCAAGCACAAGCCAGGCAGCGTGAAAAAAGGAACCATCGTGTCCGGAACACTGCTCCGACGAGCTTCCAAAATCTCAACCGGAGAAGTGTGCTGCAAGGCCGCAGCAGACTACCATTCCTGTGACGATGCCCATTGTGATGACGATGGTTTGATGTGATGTCGAGGGGTGATGAGGACGACGATGAAGACGAAGACGAAGACGATGAGAAGAGTGGTGATCATGATGACGGAGGAAGAGGAAAGGTGGAGGCGGAGGAGGAGGAGGAGCTGGAGGATGTAGGAGAACGCAGGAGGGCGGATGGTTCTGCTCGAGTTTGAATGGACGACGGCAGGACGAGGACTACGACGACGACGCGTAAAGCTGAGATGACCCCAAAGCTCAGAGAAAAGGAAAACGAGCAAGAGTATCTTGTGGGTTCAAAGCCTGTGGTGTTGGGTTTCGCCATGTACAGTTTCCGGGCGTTCCCGGGGCCGGCACGTGCAGGGTGAACCAAATGAGCACGCAGAGGAACATGAGAGCCTCGTGGGCACAGCGCAAGTTCCCTAAACCCTAAACCCCTAAACCCTAGGCCCTAAATTTGCTTCCAGACTTTACGGCCTAGGCAGCACCAGCCAAGGGCCAGGCACTTGTGGAGCACACCCAGTAGATCCCTGAGTCGGGGCCACGATCCACAAAGCCCCGAAGTTCGACAGCTGAAAGATGAATGAAGCCTTCACGCATAGTTCTGAGGTCCTGGCCCATGATATACCCAGGAGGGGATGGGCCGTGGACGCCGAGACCTTGGAAAAGTCGAGCACTGAGAAGTCATCGGGCTCCGTCTCACATCTGTCGAGCAGAAGACACGTCCATGTGCACTCCAGACACTTCTGGCTCAGCGTAGGATCCCGGACGTCCAGCCATGATCAATTGGAAGTTCAACACGAAAAAGATCACGCCGATCACATGGTAGGTATCCTCAGCTAGAGGCATTGGCAAACACAGGCCACAGGCACAATCTGCTCAGCAATGGAGCGTCGGCACAACAGAAGAACACTTAGCAGTCATCATGTGCCCCAGTGCGGCAGCATCTCAGCTCTGCACCATCTTGGTAACGGTCAGGGCTGTGAGATCTCGGATATCTTGTCGGTACTGCGTTGCCTGTGCTACAAGTCATGCTCCACTGACTGTCGCAGAAGCGCTCCTCCCAGCTATTTCAGAAGCCGCCTGTGCCATGGCAAAGTTGTACCCTGCCGTGTACCGGGAGAATCGAAGGCCGGCATCAAAGAGGTAGTTTGCTCGGTTGTACCTGAGCGAAGGAACAGAGGGAAACAGTCAACCCAAACAACAAAGACTGCGGATGGAAGCGCCCTCAGGGGCAAGAGCTTTCTCTTGAGATGTGGTCTCCACAAAAGGTCTGGGGGATGTTCCCCACTGAACGGAGACCCTCCAGAGTACTCAAGACACTGACAACTTTGCCAAGAGGCGTGAAGGCGCCGGTGGCTGCTGCGGTTGCTGCCGCCGAAGCCTCAGAATCTTCAGAGCACCAAAAGGACACCGGGAAGCTAGAGTTAGAGTTCGCGTTTGCTCTAGGGTACTGGAATAAATAACGACACACCGAGACGGACGCTTCACTAGCGGAAAAGACACGTACGGTAGATACCCGAACCGCTGCCCTGAGTCAGATCGGGTGAAACGGTGCAACCAGAAAAAGCTACTGTCATTCTGGGCTCCTCACTGCAACTTTCACTCTCAGTGCTGTTGCCGTAAGCATGGCGGACACCGACGCTGCCATGATCAGTGCCGCTGTCGTCGTTCATTTACCAGGAATGCTTGGCCACCGAAGACTCTGGGCGACCGCACGGCGGCTCCCGACGCAAGCACGGGCATGGCGGCCTCGCAGCTCAGTTGGGCTCTGGTGAATAACTCCAGTGCTTGGGGTTTAGAGCTTGCCTTTTTTGTTGAAAGCCCGTATTTCCATCTGGTTTCCATCTGTGTCTCATTTGCGGTTGGTAGTAGGTAGCCCGTGCTCGACATGTGCCCGAGTCCAACGGCTACCGCAACGCTTGCGGGGCTTTGGGTTGAAGAGTTTAGGATTTTAAAGAATACGCTGCAGGATTGCCTGAGGCGATCTGTCTGATCATGAGACTTGAAATGGCCCCCTATTTTTTGCCTTCAACTGGAATCCGTGGGCAAACAGCAGAGACGAATCCTCGGCTGCCGGCCTAAAGCTTTGGAAGGCTGCACACTGCACAACACCTGGCATCGCGGGTGCTGTCAAAAACGAACTGGAAGATATAATATTTTGTGATATAACATACTATATTTTTTCATCTTATTCTATCTTATTATATATATATATACATATAACACGTATATATACCATATGAATATGGTACAAAAAACACAACACAGCTCTGCCCTTCTTTGCCCTCCACTGCCCCGGAATCGCCTCTCGGGGCCCGCTCGTGGCCGGCTCCCTTCGAAGCGACACGCGGCCGCTTTTGAGCAGACGCGGCGGCGGCGAAGCGGAATGGTGCGTGCAACACAGGGAGGGCCGCTTTTTCGGGTTTGGGGCCAGGGCGAGGGCTTAGGGTTTAGGGTTTAGGGGCTTCGGGGTTTAGGGTTTCGGGTTTAGGGGTTTAGGGTTAGAGGGTTAAAGGGCTGTAGTGATGGATTCGGGAGGCTCACATCCAAGCAACTGCGAACATGAAACACTCGCACATGCATCTCTGGCACATCCGGATGTATCTCTTGCAGAGATGAAGCACGGATCTCTACCCACCTGCTCGACGGACAGAGCAGACCCCCCTCTCCTGGTTTTCGGCACATCGCTGAAAACATCTTTGCCTCGAAAGCCCCCCGGAGTTCAGAGCTGCCGCAACACGCTCGCGGAGCCTGGCAGAGGCTCGACCCGCCCCGAAAATCTACAGAACCAACTCTGAAAGCCTGGAGCTTAGATGTCCGTTGCTGGCGGCTGCTGATGCTTATCTCCCCAAGTTTGAAGGCCCGAATTTTTCGTCGAAGTCAAAACGGGGACGCCAGCAATCCGAGCTTGGACGCCAGGTTCCGCAGCCTGACGGCCATGAGCTTGGACACGAGTTTGACTCGGTCAACTTCCTTGAGGAGCACTTCTCTGCTGTCCTTCTCTCGGTTCTCCAGGGAAAGCCAGAGCCGGAGCAAATGTCGCCGGAGGTTGGGGTCGTCCTGGTCTTCGAAGGGCCCACGGGCATGGACAATGTAGTGGTTGCTCAGCAGCTGAATGTCTCCTGGCTGGAACTGCATGGTGAGCTGGACAGCTGGGTCATTAGCAATCTCGTCATAAACCTTGATAGCCTCCAGCGTCGTAGGATCGATTTCAGGCATAAAGTCGTAGTCCCAGACCGATCGATAGTAGCCGGTGTGCCAGAAGGTCTTGAGATCCCCCTTGTAGTAGCTCACAGGCCTGATGGGCACATGCCTGGTGCCTCCATCGCCGCGGGTGTCCAGGTAGAAATCCTCGTACAATCGAGGGATGAGGTCTGGTCGCCTTTTGAGAATCTCGTTGTAGATTGTAACACTGCTGGCGATCCGAGAGGCACCTCCTTTCTTAGCAGGTGTCAGACAGAGCAAACCCACCACATCGGCGGCATCGCAGTGGAAGAAGATGTCTTCATTCGTGCGGTACTGGCGCTCGTGCAAGCCAGTCGTGTTCCGCCCATGGTACTCATTACGGACATGGCCCAGAAGTTCTCCACGCCCAGACTGGGCACCAGGAATGCCCAACAGTTGACCCAAGGACCAGAAGAAGAGCTCCGACTGATGTTCGGTCCACCGATGCGTCGGCACTCCACGTACTACCACAAAGCCAAGGCCATCGTGCTGCCTCGGGTTCAGCTCATTGCGCCAAGAGTCAACTTTGGCAATGAGCCTGTCCGAATATTGCAGATCTGATCTTCGCAACTGGTGGATGCTCTTGCCACTCTTCTCCAAACGCTGAATTTCCAGGTCAAGGTCCTCTTCATCTTGGGCCGTTAGAGTGACCATCCAATCCTTCGGCTCAAGTGCCCCCCCAAGCCAAGCTGCCCGTCCTCCGATGGGATCCATCCTGATCCCACCATCGTGAGGTCGAGAGAAATAGTTCAAACTCTGCAGAGTGATCGTCCTGTAGGACCGGCTTTGGGCAGAAATCACAGCATAGCCGATGGCCGCCGCCAGGACCAGCAGGCTCCAAAACAAAACTCCCATGGCACCAGCGTGTTGCTGCTCTCTCTTGCACTGCGTGGCTCTCCGATGACCGAGGTCCTACACTATTTTGTCTCTTGAGTCTCGAGGCAGCCCGTGGCAATGATGACACTGAGCCAAGGCCCAGTTTTCCGGGGGTGCGTTGGAGGGATGAAGAAGGTCTGGGGCTGCTGCAGGGTTTCGTTCACAGGCTCTGAGTCTAGCAAGTGGGAGCTTGCAGCCGTGGGGGTGCCCCAGCATCCCCTCTTCCCCTTGTCCTTCCCAACGCGTTCGTTGGAGAAAAAGATGCGATGGGTCCGTTCCGATAGCACAAACTGTCGCTTTGCCTCAGCAGCCGCTTGAGAAGGATGCAGGAATCTTTTCCGCCACTCTCGAACATCCTGCCTGCAAGTCATGTCTTGCAAAACACCACATCGAAAGACTGCGCGGGAGTGCCGAGCAAGGCGAGCTTAGTCAAGGCAAAGTCTCCTGACCAATGCGTCGACAACGAGTCCAGGCGGTCTATTTCCTAAAGAAACGGCCCTTCAAAGCGCCCCTCTGTCACGATTTGTAACGAGGGGGTAGCGGGGAAAAAGTGGCCGTGATGGGTGCCCCCCAGTTTTTTTTTGGAGGGATCCCTGGCCGGAGCACCCGTGGCACATACCGGGTCACTTCCTTCGGAAGTGTCAGGACGCAGCAACTGGAAGGCTCTTCCAGCTGCTTAGGGTTTCGAATCATACAGGATTGGTAAGACTTAGGGACCAGTGTTTGGGATCTGGGTCATGATGGCAACTTGTCGCTTACCTTTTAGGGCTCCTGTTGTCTCTTCTTCTTAAATCTGAAAGGTCGATCCTTCGCTGTCCTGGCGATCGACGACGTCTCTGGGAGGGCCTGGGCAGCCGCAAGAAAACCAGCGAGGTCCGGCATGCGACGACAAGCAACGTGCTTAGAAGGGCTGCAGTCACCGAAGGATCCGCCGCGACTGCCATATGTGGCATCATCATCATCAGCATCAGCATCAGCATCATCATCATCGCAAGCAGTCATTGATCATGGATTCAATAAGGGGCGCCGCTTCGGCAGCTTCGGGGCACCGCTTCCTGAGGCCGGCGCAGCAGTCTTCTGCTTCGATCTCGTGCAGGTAACCCAGGGAGAAGACGCCAAAGGTGGCCACCAGGGCTCCAAGGAAAGGAAGGAGCGGAAGCAAGCTCGTGTCGCTCGTGGCAAACATGCAGAGCTCGAATGGAATCCAGAGAAGCAGCAGCAAGGTCACGCCACTAAGAACCAGCACTGCGACCACCGCACCCCTCCCCCAGGCCTCACACCTTTGTAGGTTAAGACCAACCCTCCAAAGAAGTAGTGACAGCCTGGTGAAGAAGACGCTCACAACTCCGACGATTGCCCAGTCCAGAAAAAGCCTTATGCTCTTGGCGAAGAGCTCAAAGCCGGAGAAGCCGCGGGCTTCTTCAAGCCACAGTGGAATGTAGAGCGACAGATATGGCAGGCAGCAGCTGCCGACCATGTACCTGGGCTGGAAAGGGCCTCAACAGAACACGGCAAGTGCCCCGAAGTCAGTTCTGCTCACCCCTACCACTCGGATATATTCGCATGCTGCGCAGACACACGGTGTAGGGAAGCGGCAGCGTGCTCGCCCCCAAACCGGAAACGACACGGGGAGCAAGCTGCTTGCGCACCATGGTGTTGAAGGACTCCAAGGCATCCTCCGGGTTTTCATTCGGAAGTAATTCGCGAACTCAGCAAGACAAGTGCTCCCGAAGGAAGCGGCTTGAAATCAAGCAGGTCCTCGCTCATGAACTCTGCTGCGTCCTGACCCCTGCCATACCATTTGTGCAGCAGCTTGAACACGAGCTGCCGGTCGCACGGTATGGGAGCTCCCGTTTGCGGATGTGCATGGCCATTGGAACAACAGAAACAGGTTGCGTCCTCAGTTCCCGGGAAAGGTGCAACAGAACGTTATGCCGGGTACCACGCACAATGAGCACGAAGCATAACGATAGATCAACAAGTTTGATTGACACTTCCGTCCTGCATGCGGAACTGGGCCAGCTGCTGCAGCAACCCCGCAAGTTCGCGCATCAGCTCAATGCCTCCGGATGGTTGGAAGGAGCACGCGAGCTGAAACCAAGACTCCATCAAGGGCTCAAAAAAGACCTGATGGTTGGACTAATGACTAATGACCCCATCGTATACCAAACTTTGAGCCTTGAAGGAAGTGATCTGAGATCTGGGCTGCTCTGATGCACAAACGGTGGGGGGGGGGGGGGTCCATTGCTATCCATTGCATATAGGTATGCAATATGCAACTGTATTTATCCATGTATGACACTGTGCAAGGGGGCATGGGAGTGCGGCAGTTCTGCGCATGACACGGGACGATTCGGCTCGATCCAAGGGCTAAACAGCGAAAGGGTGGGACACCACACGACACCACACACCTTACCCTGCCACCTGACGTAGCTGGTGATCTTCGAACAGGCATCGCATCGGGACTCACATGGACGCAGACTAGCTTGCAGGATCCCTTGTGTAATGCCCGAAGGCTCTTGGCCCAGCCGCCCGTTTCAGGGTATGAAAGCTCACGTGCGGCCGGGCGACCGATGGCGTACACCAGCGGCCTGGGTCAGGAGACGGAACCCGCGGAACGAAATGAAGCGATGCGCGATGGGCCTTTGGGCAAACGATATGCGGCTCGTCTCCGGGGCCGCGCCGCGCCGACGGCTGACGGCGATGATGACGATGATGATGATGATGATGACGTCATGTCAGTCATGAACCGGCATTCTGGACGATAATCATTCCAGTCCAATTCACGTCCAATTCACAATGTCACTATGGCAAGACTCGTACTATCATCGAATGCACTGGCTCGCATATCTTCTGACCATAGTGACCAGTGGCCTCATTCTCGCCTGTGGCAGTTCCTGCTACGTTTTCGGCGTCATCACTACTTCTCTCCATACAGCCGATACCTGCTTGTCACAGTGCTCACCGCTATGAACCATGAGTATCATTCGTGATCATCAGTTGCGTTATCATGAAAATTCTGATACTGCAGCTGCGAAGTGATAGCCCAGTAGCAGGACCAGCGCGAAGACCAGGATCATCAGAGCTGAAACCAATGCCAGCACGTTGAAGTTCACCTTGAAGTCCAGTAGGGCATCCTTCGAGCTGACACGCTGAAGCTTCCACGTCGCAGCTGAGGAGTCAGCCTAGGGGACGCCTTCTAAGGGACAGCATCGGGAGAGTGAGAGTGCGTAGCTCCTCCGACTTCGAGAAGACGTGGAAGCACAAGCTCAAGACATGCCAGCAGAGAGATCCCAACAGCAGCAGGGCACCCGTCTTCAATGGCATGATCTGCAAAAGTTGTGATTCGGAGCAGCCCCTACCACAACCGGAACTCTTACGGGTTCGAGCAAGGTTCTTCGGGGTTTTTGGGTTTGGAGGCAAGCTAAGTGCAGATTGGGTGAAGCGCTGTTGAGTTCAGTATGTCTGTAATTATCAGGGACCCATCTGCTCGAATAGCTTGCATCCTCAACCATGGACAAAAGGCCCTACACGTGGTACGCGGCTCTTGTTTGCCCGAAACCCGGAATTCACCCGAGAATCCAAAAGACATTTGCATCGTCATTGTTGCGGTACTAGTATAATCACCAGCAGAGTCAGCACTTGTGTACTTGTGTAACTGTAGGATTTCTGCAGGGATGCTGTGGTTGCAAACCCGCCTGAATTCGGCGCTGCCGATCCCTGAGGAATGTCCCAATCTCGAAGCCGCACCAAACACGCAAAAAGGTGCGCGGCGACCAGAGGACAATCAACTTCCTCGAAGCCATCAGGAAGCCGGCTATGCCGAGGATGCCGGCTTGCTTCAACCTTGGACAAGACGACTGGGAGCTCAGGGCCCGAAGGCTGAAAGAAGGAGGCTTTTTTTTTGAAACGCCTCCGAAGCACTGCTCGTCCTGCTGGGAGATGCAAAGCTTGTCCAAAAACACCAGTTGAGGTCTGCAGAAGAGCATGCGGATGCGCTGCCAGAGAGCCAGGACAAAGAAGAAGCTGAGGTGGCCAAAGGTGGCCATCCAGATCTCGGAAGGAAGCAGCCCTTCTGCTCTCAGCACCCCCACGAGGATGCTGACAGCAAGGCACGCCAGGAAAGCAGCTCGGGAGTTGTAGATGATGACCAAAGACAAGACCTTGAGCCGTGCGTTCGAGGCCCAGTCGTGGCTGAGGAAGGCATCCAAGGAAGCCGTGGGACAGCTCAGCTCGTATCTCTTCGCCTCCCCTTGCGGTCCTTGCTCCAGCGTGAACATGCCATTCTCCGAATTCTTCCAGTGCCGACCCCAGCCGGTCAGTGCCACGTGCAGAGGGACTCCGCGCAGAAGGTTCGGCTCTAGCTTGGTACTCAGCTCTCTTGTTGCACCACTCTCAGATTCCTCGCTGCGGAAGGCCGGCTCCCCCAACGGAGGTGGCATGGCGCGCAACACGAGGAGCCAGTTTTTTGGGATATCTAAGCCTTCTATGGGGGGCTGGGATGAATGATTGCCGACCACATGCTGTCATGAAAACACACTCTTGCACCCGCCGCTGGCCAGAGCTGGTATTTGTCTTAAAGCCACTGACACCTCCGTCTCCTACATTATCCATCAGAATTCTCAAGAAGTCTTCCGCTCAGCTTCTGGCTTCCCGTGATTGCTTCGCCCCCCTCCGCGACGTTCTCGCTTTCCGAACATGATCCGCTGTGCCGCAGGCTGAGTTAACCTTTGCCTTTTGGGCCATTGGCCATACAGCCTGTGATGGGGCATCGACGAAACAGGTCATGGCTCGGGACACCCCTTTGGGGAAAGCCCGGCAGCCCGGCGGAACCCTCAATTCAACCGGACCTTCTGCCACCGTGCCCGAAAAGCCACTCGTAAGATGTCGCAGACTAGACGTGGAAGAAGGTCCCTTCCAAAGGTGGACAGGAGATGGCTGAGGTCAGATCTTCTTTTGAGGCCGCCTCTTGGCCAGGGTCTTCGACCTTCACCGACTCCCCTGCCTCTCGGGCCTCCACGACAGTGTCACTGGCTCGCACATCTCGCACCGTCGTTTGCATGGCCCAGAGCAGCGCCCTCTGCCCGCAGGAGAAGAGAGCCAAGACCAAGGTGAACCAGGCAAAAAACACAGCCACGGGGAGAAGGGAGTCCTCCGCAGTCGAAGCAAGAAGGTATTGCAAAGGACCCCACACCACGGCCACGAGAACGAAGATGATGAGTTGTGCCGCTATGGCAGCACACCAGCGGTTCTCCAGCCACAGACCCGTTTTCCACATAGGAAGGCACATCCACGTAGCTAACATGCTGGCCAGGGGGGCGGTCCCCCAGTCAGTGAGCATCCGCAGAGTCCGGGCGAAAAGAGCATAGCCGGAGATCCCTGCGTGCACACTTGCGATCCACTGCGCGACGTGATCTGCGAGGTAAGGCAGGAAGCTTGCACCGACCATGTACACCGCATAGTTGAGCGGCAATGTCATGCCGCCAATGAGCAGCGCTATGCTGGGAGCTAGCTCCTCACGAACCTGTCTGCTGAATCTTTCCAAGTGGTCAACCTCACCTTCCTGCCCATACCACTGCTTCAGAGTGTTGTAAACCAGCAGCCGGTCGCATGGCAGCTTGGATCCATCGTGTGGATGCCGGTGGCCATTCGAGCAGCAGAAGCACTCTGCTTCCTTCCAGGGCACAACGCATTCAACCCTTTTGAACCCTGTAATTAGCCGTGGACCTCTTCTGAAGACCCCGCGCCGATCACACAGTTGGGTACAACACCCATCGAAGCCTTCGCGTTGAAGCCGGCTAATTGGCGAGGCATTTCTTCCAGGTCCGCGACGATTCCCATGCCTGGAGACAGTAGACGACGCCACAAAGAAAATCGAGCACGGAACGAGGCAAAGTCTCTTCAAGTCCAAGCAGCCCAAGTAGAACACGAAGGGCAGCACAACACTTGTGAGAAGGAGCATCAATCCCGTCAAAATGAGTGAATTGTGCCATATTGGTGAATCATCGTTGACGACTCCTTGCACAGGCGATCTGAAGGGAGTTCCCACCAAAGTGGTCTCGCAAGGAAGTTAATAGTTTGAACTTTTGCCAGGCGCGCGTAGATTACAACACTGAAACAAGAGTCGAGCACCTGCAAGTCTCAATTCCCTACCCGGACCTACCCAAGATCCATCCCTGCACGGGCCAAAAAGTGCCCCCAAATGCGCACGGGAGTGCGCGGCGGCGGCAGCACAATTTCATTTAATGAATCACGTGGAGAATTTGGCCACTGCGGCACTGTGGAAATGATGCGATTTTAGCCACATCCATCCGGAGCGTGAGCCGTGAGCCGCGGAATCGCAGTGTGGGCGCCTCGTGGATCTATCTAATCGAAGCCTCGTGACCTCCAACGCAGAAAAGCCCGCGGTGCTTCTACATTACTGCGCTATTTTGGGGAAAGACAGCCATCCATTTCCAAACTGGGCCCCCCGTCCAGCAAATGCATTCCAGCCGATGGCCAGGGCAAACCAGCAGCCAGCGCTCAGGAGCAGCAGCACTGCCGTCTTCAAGGGCATGAACTGGATGCGCTTCCGCCGCTGGGGATCTTTCATGAAGGTAGCGATTTCCAGCCTTGCTGGATTCCCAGGCTTCAGGCGCGGAAGAGGCTGTGGAAGAAAAGCAAACCACCCCCAGACACCGACACCTGAACCTCCATAATATGAGGGTGCCTGCTCCGTGTTGCTATGGCTGCTATGGCTCCTCCGAGTTGTCCACACAGTGATATGCTCAGTTCGTGCACAGGCGAACTGCGACTACTGAAAGATGCTACTTTATCTAGGCCCTTCATGTAGGCTACATTGCACTCCCCGCACCTGCAAACCAGGCTTGTGTCGTTAAAACATTTGAGAATTCATCTTCCCCCCCCCCCCCCCCCCTCACCCCCAACCCCGTCTCCGATGACAGCGAAGCGAGCACTTCTTCTGGGCTCAAGGGTTACCTCCCCCTCCAGCGGGCGGTGGGCAACGGGGAGGCAGTGCCTGTCACCGTCCGGAAAAAGCAGTGTCAGTTTTCACCCAGGTAGCTGGTAGCTGTGATGCCAGCAACAGCGCATGCCCGGCCCTCTGCTTTCGAGGCTTTACTCCACGTTTTTACCATGTTCTACCTGTATCATGTGGGCTTCCGTTCAGAATCGCAGCGGAGGGTCGGGGTTCTGAGAAAGCACCCGCAACAACCATGCACGAGAGTGCAGCCAAGCGGCGTGCACCAAAGACGCGTAAAATACCTGTGTTCCAAACACTGCTCAAATCGTTCAAGCGATCTCACACGTGCTCTTCACCCACTCGAACACTCTCATAAGTGTTCCGTCGCCATGTATCGTTCTGATGGGGCGCAGGGCGGGGTCTGGGGGAGCATGCGACCCGAAGTAGAACCAGCCAGACGAGAGGCCGCGGCGTCAGGAGAACCACGAGCTGCCGAGAGCTCAGCAGAAAGGCAGCGAGGCCTTTGATGCCTTTCTGCTTCAGCCTAGGCGTGGTTCGTAAGATCTCGTAAGAGTTTTATCCGTGGGCTTTTGGGCGGCATCAGAGCACTGTGAGACCTCAGGCCGAGCGGCTCCTCGTCGTGCTGCGCGACGCAGAGCTTGTCCAGGAAGACCAGGAAGGGTCGACACAGGAAGCGTCTCAGGCGCTGCCAGAAGGCGAAGACGAGGAGGAAGGTGCCGTGGCCAAGCACCACGGTCCAGCCCTCGTTGGGCAGCACCCCGTAGCCACGCAGCACTCCCACCAAAACGCTGACGCTAAGGCAAGCCAGGAATGCAGCATGGGAGTTGTACACGATGAGCAGCGACAGGAACTTGAGCGTTCCGCTCGAGGCCCAGTCGTGGCTGAGGAAGACATCCAGTGATTCCGTGGCTCGGCTCAGCTCGTAACTCTTTGGGTCCACATTGAACATGCCGCTGTCTGGAGTCTCCCAATGCCTTCCGCCGCTTGGCCCCGTTTCGACTTACAATTACTCGTGCATCAAAGACTTGCATGACATTGCCGTGCCTGCCCCAGCCGGCCAGTGCTACATCGAGCGGCACCCCGCGAAGGAGTTCCGGCTCCAGCTGCGTCTTCAACTCCTGCCAAGAGCGTGCAGCGCGTGCAAGTGACAGCTTCGGGGTACTTGGGCCTTCAAGCCAGAGCTGCATAATAGTAATTATAGTAATCATAGCGTCTGAAGACCGCACCCCGAAGCTCTTGAGCTACACCCCGTCACCAATCGTGCCTGGGACGTCGAGCGATGTGACTGCGCTTCCGAGTGAAAGCTGGGGCTGCGCGGGTCCGCATGGTCCGACTCTGGCAACATGCGTGGAAGGCTAGGCCCCCGATGTTCTGCGAAGAGGCGAAGAGGTAACTCTGGCCTTCGAAGGTTTCGGGTGCAAAACTTCCACAACTGCTGAGGCTTACACGTTACATTGTTGCAAGTACCTGCCCCTCTATCAGAGAGTCGCAGCATGTCGCAGCCTTGAGCCCGAGAGATCGCCCAGAGCCAGACTACCCCAGGCCGAGACCAAATCCAAGTGATCAACGAAGGTAACTACGGTCAGCGTCTTTGAGGGTAATGAGGTGTTTTGGCCGGAGATGGAGCTGGCTCCCGAAGGCACCTCAAGGGCCCTTCACGGCCCTTCATCCTACAAATCGCCAGAACCCAAGCCCCAGACAGCTCCAGGCCAGAGAAGTGCGGAGAGGAATGCCGGGTCCGAGCCTGCCCATATGCCAGGCCAGGCTCTTTCATACGCCTTGGCAGATGGCTAGGAGTTCGGACGCTGTCGCAATGGCACCGGGTGGATTGGTCGGGCGACTACTCTCTTTTCAAGCGAATCGGGCCTGAGGAAATTGTTAGACATCGGGTCCTGAGAAAATGTGCAGCACTGCTTCTTTGGGGGACGGTCAAGACTCAAGTTAAAGTGTAAAATTTACCATGGTCTCTACCCACTCACCCTTTGAATCCCATAAAGATCGAAGCCTAAACACCCTCAGGATACCTTACAAAAAAACAGACGCCTGAAGTGCTGCCCTAAAGCCTGACGCCCCAGGTCCCGTCCCCTGCCTGGGCATTGATCCCACAGCTCTCTGTGTTAAACGACCCCAGAGGCTTCTGAAGGTCTACAAAGATGCGGTGTTCCGATGATACTGAGCCGAGAAGCTGCAAGGATCCCGATATAGATCCTCAAGGCCGGTGTCGTCTTTCGACAACGTGAAGTCTAGACATGTCGAATGTGCTGGGGTCGTCCCGCTTGGGTGGGACACAGGCGAAGCAAAACGGGTTGAAATCCGAAAACAAGGCGGACTTAACCCTGGGTCGCGGAACTACGCATTTTGCACCCGCTTGCCGGGTCCGCGTCGTTGTCACACGTAGCCCTGGGCGAGACAGGGACACATACGATTCCCTCTCGCCTTCTGGTTGCTGCTTGCCCTTCCCAAAGCAGAACAGGCTGCCACTATCGCTGCTGCAAACGGCAAACCTTCATCCTGATATTGCCAGGTACGGCACAGTACACACTGCGCCGCAAGCTTTGCTTGAGCAAAAAGAAGTTCAAGGCATGTGAGAGTCATAGCTGCAGCCTACATCGGCCTCGACGATCTTCAGCTTCTTCTCCGTGGCATCGAGTCGTTCCTGACAGCTAGGCGCAAGTCGTCGTCATCGTCGTAGCAGAAGCAACAAATTATGCACAGCAGCAGCAGCAGAGAGGTAGAGCATCCGTAGCAGCGACAGTATCAGAAGCAGTAGAAGAAGCAGCAGTAACTATTCCATGAAGCAAAAACAGCAGCTGAAGCTGTGGTAGCAGTAGCAGATGAATGCGAGACATCGTCGAGGCAGTACCACTCGTAAGAGTAGGAGCAGAAGGAGGGGGACGAGGGGGAGGAGGAGCCACGATTGCAGTGGAGTACAAGTAGGACTTATGACACAGGTCACTCTGACGCCAAATTTCCCACTGAAAGGCTCCTGCACCGCATCGAGTTCACTGGAGTGAGCTGCCAAGAGGTGAGCAACCTGGTCAACAGGTATCAGTCTGCGCTTTTTCAGCTTGAAGCTTTCTTCTGATGGCTTGGTGCAAGCTATGATCTTCTGTTGAGTTTGCGCGTAATTAGCACTCGCAATGGCTGTCACATTGGAGGAGCGCCAGTGCCAATGGCAATTATCAGATTTAACCACGCGCGGTATTGCGGATATTAGATGCGCCCAATACCCCTTGAACGACTGCTCGCTACCGCGCCCGCATCCTCGCATTCCTTTCACTAGGGACTTTACGACATGTGCAGCCGCACCTGATCGAGGGGATCACCGCCGCCCTCGGCCTCTGAAGAAAAACAAGGTGTACAGCATGCGGCACCCACCACAATCATGGAGAGTCCTCGAAAGCGACGGTCGCATCCGCGAGCTCCCTAACCTGCAACGTTCACAGATGCAACGAAATTTTAGGTGGGCTCGAGCCTGTCCACGGGCAACCAACTTACTATGTCATCATAGGATTACATATGTGCTCTAAACCCTAAGCCTAAACCCTAAAAAATACTACTGCTACGACGACGACTACTACTGCCACTCCAACTGCTACTGCTGCCACTGCTGCTACTGCTACCGCCTCCTCTTCTTCCCGCCTGCTGTGTGAGGTCCCCGAGCTGGCTCTCCAAGGCCGCAGCACGATCCTCCAGCCTCTACTGAGCACCACAACAAGCCTACGCGAAGCCCTACCGGCACATGCACGTGCAGGTGCATCACGCGCTGTCGGAGAAACACATAGCAGCACCCCCAAGACCTGATGGTACTCCGCGGGGTCTTCAATGTCCTTGGTGTCGTGCACAAAGGCTGGCAACGACTGCGACGACAGCTGACGAGTGCCTACGCCATCCTACGCCCAAAGACAGCCTTAGCCCCGAGCTGCTATGATCCTATGATTGGCATTGGCCTTTGTGGTTTTCATCAACTCCTTTCTTCCCGGGTCCCCCGGCGAGCCCAGGTCCAGCTGCGTCTCCAGCTGCTCCAGGAGCTTCGCCAGAAGGTCCTGTGTCTTTTTCCAAAGAGAGGGGCCCAAGGAATACGGGCGGAAGTGAAGCAGAAGCCCAGCCCTGCATCATGATTTGCGGCAGCGAGAGAGGTGGATGTTCTTGCATCTCAATGCTGAATTTGGAAAAGCGGCTTGGGAACGGAGGATACTGGTACGACATGGCTTGGCATCCAAGCCAGAGGTACGGCAGCGTCTACTTAGCTTCAGTTTAAGGCATCTGCCAATGCTTTCCTGGAGCCTCAGCGTCGCTGAGGCTCCGGCCTGCTGCTCGCGGATCAGCTGCATCGACCCCTGGGCGCCTTCCTGCTTTCGCCTCTGGGAGCCGGCAACTTCGGGTCTCTCTTTCTTGAGGAATCTGGGGAAGAAATCAGGGTCTGATTGGACCCGAATCTGCGGGTTGATCCCGGCCAGAAGCCAAGGCCCTTGCATCAGGTCTTCGCGCTCCTCCTTAAGTACCTGACAGAGCTCGCAGCACATGGGTCCGTTTGAGAACTGCCAGGCTGGGGGGACCAGAGGCACCGTGACCTGAAAAGAGCAAAGTCAAAGGCTCGTCGCCTGGACCTTCTCGTGGAGGTCGGTGTACTCCCTCTCCATCTCGAGAGCAGCCGTGGAAGCCGCCTGTGCATCCGCTGCGAGGTCTGAGGTCACAGCCCGGAACTTTTCGCTCGCTCGGACTTCGCGACTTCGCCTTCACGGACTTGGCATGCTGGCTTATTCGGCCTGCCAACAGGGGCACCCCAGCGCTGCTTTAAGCGCTTTAGCGCAAATGCTAGAGGAACATGGCAACACAGTGAAGTTAGCGCCTTCCCAATTCCGAAAGAGCTCGTCGACGAGCTTCTGCTCCTGTACGTGAGGCTCCCAGACATGCTCATGGCCGGGGCTCAGTGGACCTGGCTTGCACTTTTCAAAGGCCCTGCGGCTGTGACGCTGCTCAGGACGGTCTGAACGCTGACGACAGGACGTTGCGGCCTCGTCCGTGAGCCGCGGTGCCTGCACCGCGACAACGGGCGGCGGACGATCCGTGCCTGTAGCCGGGCCTGAGAAGCGAGACAAGGGTCTTTGGTCCGGGATCAGGTTGAGGGGGGATAACCCGCACTGTGGTTTTGGCAGCACGGAACCGAGGGTGTCGCCACTCTTCGCGGGTGCCGTGGCAGCCTGGACGAGGAATGGCAGCAAGGGTTCAAAATCGTACAGTTGCTTACTTCCTGAATGCATTTGGGGATCCCCTTGTCGTTGGAAGCACTCTCACTGACTTTTCGACTTAAGCATGCTTGTTGATACGGTTCTGATTCATTCATTTATATATGCGTCTGTGCATCAGCCTCTGTATCCACCATTTCTATTCCTAGCCTTAACTGAGTGAGCTGCAAGAAGACAAGGAATAGTACCTAATGCATCAAGGTTGCATTGGCGATGCCTTAACCTATGTCGGAAAATCTAGAACTATGGGCCCGCAGCCGTAAACGGGTCCCCTTTTGCGGCGTCGCGCGCTTCAGGCGCGGCTTCGAGGGCCACGGCCCAGGAGCCGCAGTGCTTGGCCCAGGAGCTGCTGCCGTCCACCGCGAGCTCCTCGGCTGGTGGGCGATCAGGGGGCTCGAGCTCTGTGAGCACGAGCTTGGGTTCAGGAGCACCAGAGGCCGGAAGAGACGAGCCCGACACAAATCAGACAGCTTCCAAGCAACGGCTGGAAGTGGCCAGCGCTGCCAGGTTCCAGCGGTCATGTCGAAGGCCTGGCGGTGTCTCAGAGATTCTGCCAGGGCAACAAGCAGAAGTGGACTCCGGACAATTCGAATTCGTTCAGTCCGTCTCCTGAGGGACACCAGACTCGTTCCATTCATGTTGCAGCCCTCGGGAGCTTCGTCTGCTGCCCAGGCTTGAGCCCAGTGTTTCTTGCGGCTGCGATGGGGAGTCTTGTATGCTGCACTCTTGGCGGAGGAATGCTTCGGTTGCTGCCATCTGTCGGGCACGTTTGGCATTTCTTGGAGGGTGGGCCATTGTGATCCATTTCGTGTTCAAGGTGCGTGCCCCCGGTCAACACGTTCGGCCCTTTTCCTGTTGCGGTTGCAGTCTTGCAGCAACTTGCAAGCCAGGCCTGACAGTGGACAGTGCACTCGATACCTTCACGTTGAGGGTTTAAGATCCTTCCGTCTCGCCTCGTCCATGCTCAGGGTACACCCTAAACCCTAAAAACCCTATATCAACCCTAAACCCTAAACCCAACTATCCCCTCCGCCTGGACGTGATCTCGGCCCACGCAGGCCAAGGAGCCGCCCAGATCGAAAATCTGCCCGAGGTTCTCGAAGCTGTCCTCTTAAGGGTACATATATCGACTCAGCCCTTCCCCCCCCCCCCGGAACCCCCAAACTTGCTCTCCGATGTGTTGCTGCTCTTCTCTGCTGCGGGCTGACCTCACTACACTACTTAGTCACTGTCCTCAGCGACGATGATAAATCTGAGCATTGATTCTCCAACAGGAACTTCGGACTGTGGCGTTTGCAGCCCAAGTGGCGGCGAGTGGCAGCACCGCCAGCTCCTCCACCACAGGACGCGCCTCAGAAGAGGGAACGGCTCCGAGGCCTACTGCCGTTACCGAGCGCTCCTTGAGGAGAAGCTCCAGACTGGATGTGCATGCCTTACAGCGGCGAAAAGGACGACCCTGGCCGAGCCGCCCCGCCACTCAGCGCCACCAGCCGCGAGGATGACGAGCGTGCACGCTGAGCAGCGCCGTTCCGCGGCAGCAGCCGGAAGCTTTGGGTTCCGACCGCACCCTCGCCTCCGCCATGTGGCTATGCGGCTGGCCGCATCCGCAAAAAAACGAGTGTAACAGACGAGTCGCATTCCATCCATCCCAAAGAGACGAGCAGGCGCCCGTCCTGCCCGAGCTTACATCTTGCAACCAGAACATCAAAACATTGAGGAAGCTTCTCTAGTACCCAGAGTAACGAAAGCAACATGAAGCAAACAATAACAATCAAAACAAGCATGACATCATAAGAATAATGACAACAACTCGTAGTAGCAATGACAGTCAGTAGCAACAGTAACATTAGTATAGTATAACAATAGTATATGGTATTTGTGGGTATATGATACTATGCTTATATTTTAAGGAGCCCCCAAAAAAATATAGGTAAGTATCACAAGGCCCCTACAATCGCAATCACTCCGGCCTCCAGGAAGGCCCCAGCTCCTGGTCGCCGCCAAGGCAGCTGCCCATCCAGGACGGCCCAGAAGCCGCCGGGGCTTTTTCCCTTCGCCCCGCTTCCAAGGAGGCTCCTTAAACAACAAACAGAGCGGGTTTAAGGCCCTTGGGGGAGGGGGGTGGGGAGAGAGGGGGGTGGTTGGTGCCGACGTGGCGTCAGTCTCTGAACATGGCCGTGGCAACTGCTCATCTTGCTCCATCCTCCCAGGATCGTCACCTCCAAGCCGTCCGGCTGCACCGCGACTGCCGAGGAAAGTATGGCATGAGGTGCTGCTGGCAACGCTCGCCATCGCTGCGTTTCCAGATCAAAGAGCCAGGGGCTGTGGGCCCCGTGGTGGGGCGTGCCCGTGACCAGGAGCCACTGCCCATCTGGACCGCAGGACACAAAGCGGGAGCCCAGGGAAGCGCGGAAGCGTCTGGCCTCCGTCTCGTCACACAGGGGCCAAGCGCCTTTGCCCAGCTCCACCTGCCGGGCACCAATACATCCAGCACATCTCCTTTTTAACTCTCCCCTCGTGCATATGTATGCAGTGACATCATTAAACCACACCTGCCAGATCCGCGAGCTTCCGTTCTCCAGCACATAGAAACGTCCCGGCACAGAGGTGGCCACCGAGCGGGAGCCAGCCTTGATGTCAGCCGCCAGGGCAGAACAGCGCACCTCTCCGGAGGGCAAGAGCAGCTCCACGCAGCGGTTTCCCAGAAGCCACACCACGCGCGCGCCCGGCTCCGCGGGAGGCGGCTCCGGCGAAGGCGGCTTGCGGCGCCACCTCCGACCGCGACTGGGCCCTTCCGGTTGCTCATGCAGGGGCTCGCCATGCTCCTGGTTTCGGCCAGGGCTCTGGCCCCACCTGGCTTGCTTGCCTTGCCAGTCCGACATCGGAGCCCGCGTCACACAACTTAATTTTGGAACTGGCTCGACTGAAATTGCGGCGAGAAAACCGAATCCGTGGACAGACACGCAGCGACCGCCGCAAGAAGAAGCAACAGCAACGGCGATAAAGCTTCGCTCCAAAGCGGGCTTGCATCGTCCATGGCAAGTTTGCAAGTCTCCTGCACGCCGTGCCTTGGCAGCGCTCTTCGCCACGGCACCAGCTGCTCCTTCGAAAGTGCTCAGTTCGGTGAGGGAGCTTCCTCGGCCCTTCAAAAACGGCAGAGCAGTTCTTGGTTCCGGGCCGGCGCTGGCGCTGGCGCTGGCTGCCGCTTGGGAGCCTTTGGGAAGGCTTGGCATCGGGATCCAGGCGAGTGCGTTGTAGGGTGTCAGGGTGTTTGGGCTGAGGAGGGATGGTCAAGTTGCCTGGAAATGTGGCGCAATCCCTGTTACAGGCACGCTAGATGCAGTAACCGCGCCTGGCTCCGAGCCACCTAGAATTCCCGACAGCCCACCGGCAGTAGATGCACCTTGGTGCAGGAATCATTCCAAAATAAGTCAGTGCCGATGATGCCGATGAGAAACACGGGGATGGATTCTGCTTCGGCCACAAGTCTTCCCGCACCCCCCCCAAGTGCTCGCTAGCTGCCCCCTATAGCTGTAAGCGCAAGGCCGAGAGACGGCCGAGGACCCGGCCGAGAGCGCCGAGGAAGCCCGAGCCGTTGGCGCCTGTGGCGCCTGCAGTGGGGTTCTTAAAAAAAAGGAGGAACTGCGAGGAGCTTGCAGTTTGTTATTCCCCGGGTTCGGTACCGTCGGTGCCAGCGCCGAGAAGCTCGGAACCACTCGACGCACCTTGGAGTTTACAGGGAGTCTCGGGGGTCCTAAGGGAGCAGCCCTCTTAAGAGCAACGTTGGGTCTCAGGAAGCCGCTGCCCAAGGGCGCACTGCTCGAGCTCGAGCCTCCTGCATGTCGTGACCCAGGGCCAGGGCTCTGCGTTGAGTTGAAACCCCCCCAGGGCCTGAGGCAAACAACCCGGAGCTGGAAGAGCCTCGCGAGAGGGGCGGCTGTTAAGCAGGTTGTGACGGTCAACACCACTGATCAAAGGCAATCCTTCCTCTCGAAAGATGCGAGCAAGATGTCTGCTTGGCAGCTGTGAGTCAGTGGACTGTCTGAGTGTCCAGCCCCCTCCGAACGGCGATGCCGTGGAGCTGGAGGACCCTCCTGCGAATTCCGCGGCCCAAGTCTCGCAAGCCACGGAATCCTGTGCACGTCGAATCTTCCGCAATACTTCAGCGCGCTCCTCCAAACAAACCGGAGCCAGATGAGGCACCTTGCAAACATAGCTCATCAGCATCTCCAGACACCAAGTCTCTGTTTAAGCGCCGCACCGCCGCCGAAGGCTCCGGACAGGCCCGAGCCCGCGGACGCTCCTGGCCAAGCACTGGTTCAGCGACAGCAGACGACGGGGCGAGGGCTGTAAGTCCGAAGCCTCCAAAGGGCGATGCGCTCGAGCTCGAGGAGGCGCCTCGACACATTCGCGGATATCCCATATGCAGGGAACGCTCGTGCGATGCTGGCGGGAGGTCGTGGTGGGACGACGCACCTCCACCGAACAAGCCGGAGCCCGTCGAAGCGCCTTGTAAGATCCACCGAAACACTCATCGCGCCCAAGCTTGTGCAAACACTGAACATGCACTGTCAGCAGCAAAAGGGGCTGAAAAGGGGTGTGATCCAACTCGAGTGCCTGCAACCTCCTAGACAAGCGCATCAGCCATCAGTTCAGCCATCTGTCCCGTCTGCAATTATGAGGTTCGCCCCAAGAAGAGACCAAGAGCCACTGTATTTGGGAGCCAAGCCACCCCCGAATGGTGAGGCCGTCGAGCTTGCAGAAGCTCCTGCCAAGCCCCAAGCAGGTCTGCACCAACGCATCAACAGCTGAGAGCATCTTTCCCAACCTCCGCCAAAGAGTCCCGAGCCGGTTGAGGCACCTGACTTTGCTTGGAGTGCGCATTGCAACGTACCGGTCATTGGCACTTAGGTGCCGAGCCGGTCGCAAATGGCGAGGCGGTGGAAGCGGAAGAGCCTCCTGCAAAACAAAACTCCGTGACCCGTCCGGCGCTCGGGAAGAGGATGGCCGCATCGAGTCTTTGCTGAGCGTCCAGCCCCCTCCGAACGGCGATGCCGTGGAGCTGGAGGACCCTCCTGCGGATTCCGCGGCCCAAGTCTCGCAAGCCACGGAATCCTGTGCACGTCGAATCTTCCGCAATACTTCAGCGCGCTCCTCCAAACAAACCGGAGCCAGATGAGGCACCTTGCAAACATAGCTCATCAGCATCTCCAGACACCAAGTCTCTGTTTAAGCGCCGCACCGCCGCCGAAGGCTCCGGACAGGCCCGAGCCCGCGGACGCTCCTGGCCAAGCACTGGTTCAGCGACGACAGCAATGGGAGCAGCAACAGCTGCAAGGTCGATCTGATTTTCGGCGGCTATGACTTACTGCACCGCCGTTGGCGACCGGCCTGCCCCGAGGCCCCACCCAGCAGAGGCTGGTGCGCCTCCTTTGACAGACGGCGAGCTGGCAGCAATTTCTGCAGAATGTGAGCAACATTAGGCTACATGAAGTTACGCACCGGGACACAGCAGTACCAGCAAGACAGCAGTGATGAGGCAGCCAGCAGCTGTGGCATCAGCACGCAACGCGGCAGCAACGACGAAACGACCCCGACGACGAAGAAAAAGGCTACCAGAGCAGCAGTCCTAAGTTGGGTAAGTCCTATGGTAACAAACAGTCGCGTGCAAGAACTCAGAAGCTGCCAGCCACTCCAAAAAAAACGATCGGTGGCCAGAACAAGGATCACAGGCACCAGAACAGTCGTATCTCCGTACATAATGCTCAACAGCTGCTTTCTGCTTTCGTCTCTGTTTATAGTAGACCCTTATAGAACTCTTATCGTACCCTTATACAACCCTTATCGAACCCTTACAGTAGACCCTTATAGAACCCTTCTAGGAACCCCTTTCTTCCAATCCGGAGAGCTGGGTCTCCGGCCACCGAAGGCGCCCGAGAGGCCCGAGCCCGAGCCTTGGAGCTGGGAGGCTTCCAAGGCTTCCGTCGGATTTTTGTGTGAGAACCGCTGAGGGGGAATGTATATGGGCGTCCTAAATTTTACAGGGGATTTAAGGGTTGCCTATAAGGGGACTGGAAGGGCTCTACATGGCTATTAGCGTCCCTTTTTGGCGTCCTTTTTAGAAGGGTACCGTACTTTTTTTGGAGACCTAAAACGGGGACCCTAAAATAGAGATCTACCCAATACGGTCGCTGCTCGAACTATGCCGGCACTGCAGAAAGGGGTGCAAACCCTGAGAGTGCGCGACTGCGCAGCTCATGCCGAGGACGCTGCCTGCCCCTAGCCCCCAGGCAGGAGCGCTGCCTGTGAGCCGATGGAGCTTCTTTCACATCGTGCGCAGGAGGGGGCGGGCGGTTCGGCCAATCGATCGACGATCAAGGAGCCTCCACAGCACGATTCAAGACAGCTGCAGAGGCCCTAAGAGAGCAAGTTCCATGGTCGGAGGCATAAACACAACGACCGCAGCAGCACATACAAGAAACGCAGCAGCACTACGAATCCAAACTTCATTAGAAGCAGCACGGGGACCAACAACCGTAAGAACGATGATGACTACTTTTGTGGTTATGCTGACGACGGCAACGACCGAAACCACCTCCACCCGCCGCCAGGACACGGCCAAGAAAAAACACCAACCTCACTGTGATGACATCACCGCATTGCTGTTGGTGGTTAGAGCATAATATACAACATAAAATAACATGAGAGGCTATGATATGCTAAATTAAATAAGCCAAACTCTGCAAAGATTGCACGGAAAGCAAAGGGAATAGTTGTTGTTGTATACAATGTATGTACAAACTACAGTATACCACATGCTCAGCCATACATGCGGAGCGGAGTATGTACTATGCAATACACAATATGCACTGTCGACGTCATATTGTACCGGATGGAATGTTCAACATAGAATAGTTTTATAGCTCAAACCCTAAACTCTATTCCCTAAACCCTAAGCCCTAAATTCTACCTAACCCCTAAACCCTAAACCCTAATCCCTAAACCCTCATCCCCAGTCCCTAAACCCTAAACCCTAAGCCCTCACAGTACGAAAATGATGTACAAGCTCTCATTTGCTGAGCTCCAAGCTGCTGCCGCCACCTCCGAAGACGCCCGAGAGACCTCCGCCGGAGCCGCCTCCCAGCGGTTTTGGGCTGAGCGATGGGGCCTCGTACGTAGGAAGGCTTGCAGAGCTTAGGGGTTCTAGTACTAATCCTAAGTACTGATACTCATCAACATGAGTACACATACTCATACTCATACGAAACACTAGTAAAGAATTAGGTTTGCAGAGTTCCGGTTCTAGGTCCACGCGACCTCTTTCCGCGGGATTAGAGGTTAGCAGTTTAGGGACTAAAGCTTGATGTATACAGGTTAGCGCTTAGTCTTTGCAAGGCGTCAACACATTTGATTTGGCATGACAGATTAGTATTGGAAAGAGACTGGTAAAACTTCCATGACTGAGACGACCTTGCACCTCTTAATTGGTATCAGTTGCTTCTGCGTTTCTTGACTTTGCTGCCCTTCCGGTCTGTATTTATGAGTTCGTCTTTACAAAAACTGGTCCTGTCATGGTCGTCCTACTTTTTTCTCACATCCTGCTCTAATCCGGTTCCGATGACGACGACGTCGACTGCTGCTACTGCCGCCACGGCTGCTGCTGCAACGACCACTGCCTCAATCACCACCACGGCACCGGCTTTATCACTAGTACAGCTGTGCCACAACTACCACCACTTGCCACCACTACAAAAACAGCCATCACTGATAGTAAACTCGTGCCGATGGTGGTGGTACTCGATTCTTTCGACCATGCTTCGAGAGTTCAGGCTACAGTACCGAAAGAGAGCTGTGCCCATATCTGCTTCCGATTCCTGGGGGAGCCTGCACCCAGGCCCCATCCGTTGGATGCGCCTGTACCACAAGGTCATTGCTGCATGGTTCAGGTCCACACGTCGTGAGGAGAGTGGGAGCTGCTCGAGGAGTCTAAAAGATCTGCGCAAATTCCCCGCGCCTGCACCGAAAGCCCCAGACAAGCCGGAACCGCTGGCGCCGCCTCGGGTTCCAGAGTCTTATGAGAAATCTCCAAGCAGCGAAAGTCTTCGACGGTGCCGTGACATCCCTGTCAGGAACAGCCTGTTACGACTGCTACTCCACACGATGGTAACGGCACCCATAGTAGCGATGAGAACGGTGATCATGGCAGCGGCGATGGTGCTGTGATGCAGCTGCTTCGTCTTCAACGTCTGGTATTCACGATCATGCATATTAATACAACAGGTAAATTAGCTTAAAAGCGCATAGCATCCACGAAGCCACTGTCCAGTTCCTTGTCCCTGTAATGGAGCTGATCTAAAAGCAGAGCCCTAAACAACCCCAACAAGCTACACCACCGAATACCTCTATCAGCTGAAGCCAAGCCAGAGCAACAACACTTGGGTTTGATGTCAAGAACCCACATGAAGGGATGCAATGGGAGACCAGTGACCAGCGTCTTGGCCACCCGCCAACAGCACAAAATCTCGGCATTCTTTCATTTCAAGAGCAACCGCTACGTACAGTAAACTGTTTGGACTCGCTAGTCTCTTTCAAGTGGTCTCTTCCTTCCATGAGGTTCGCTACTGTCCTTCAGAAGGTGTGCGCATGTTTCTGAAATTCACATCGCCTCTTTCGACTGGTTTGCTGCTCGTTCTTAGCCTTCGTCTTCGCCAAAGACTCTAGACTTTGGTCCCTTCTGGGGCGTTGTGCTCCTCTACCTCAAACCTCGAGCTGCTTGCTCCTGTTTCTGAAAATCCGAACCCTTTCGACTAGCGTGCACCTTCATCTCAGATTGTGGAGTCTATCTTTCTTTCGAGCGGTTTGAAAGCTTTGAAGCTGCTTCCCAAGGTCCTTTTGGGGTAAATTTCTCTGGTCTCTCTCGAGCGCTTTGTTCTCTTTGCTGATGCAAAACTCTTTTCAACTTGCACTCGTTGTCAATGTTCAGTCTCTCTCGGGCGGTTCCTGAATCTAGGGTCTTTGAAGCAGATTGCTCTTGCTCCAGCTTCCCAAGTTCTTTAATTCCTTTCGACCGGTTCGTTCCTCTTTGTCGAACTCTCCTGTTTGCGAAATTCGTTCTGAAAGTCAAGCCAGAAGGGTTTCCCCCCGCCTGCACAAGTGCCAGGGTTGCCGTGGTTCTTCTGGTCCTTTGGGTGATTGCGGGTGGTTGTGCTCCTGGCACTGCCTGCTGTGGCACCTTTGTCTCCTGCTGCTGCATCAGACTGGTCGTTTCGTCCTCCTGTCCCCCTGTTGCGTTGGGCAGGTGGTGCTGGGGGAGGTATCGTTTGCCCCCAATCTGGCGCCCATCGCGAATCTGTCCAGCGAAGGTTGGGGTTGTTGCTGGAGGAGGTGTGCCCAATGGAAAGGGTCAGGGCTTGTCCGTCGTTTACGAGGGATGCTATAACGCTCCTCCCAATGGTAAATTGCAAACAATGGTTGAGGTTGTGACCATCGTCTACTAAAGCGGCATGGCTTTCCAGGAGATTTTTTCTTTAGGACCCCTAAGCCCTACACATCCCTGCACCCTAAACCCCTCTTTTCAATAGCAGCACAGAGGTTGTGTCGAGGATCCGGCCACTCAGGGCCCCAAGGAGTCCACCACCCGAAGCCGCCTTTCAGTCTCGGGCATCTTCGCTGCAGGTTACGGGTAGCCCCTGCCCATGGCTGCAGCTAATCCCTCGACAAGAATGCTTTCCATGATCAAGCTTTGCACGAGAACAGACACGTGTATAAGCCGCGACAGGGGGACCATGACTTTGGTCAGACTAACTGAAAGGAGAACAAGGGCACTTGCACTTTCGCTTGCTTTGGGCCCTTAAACTTGCGATGACGAGGCAGAAAGAGGCAGGTCGAAGGCATCATCATCATCATCGCCATCACCATCATCATCGTCATCATCATCATCATACTCAACAACATGAACAACAGCATACGTCAACATCATCATCCCTTATATCACCAAGAAGTGAGCTGCAAAAGCCGCACTGCCGTGGCACCTCCGCACTGGCGCCACCTCCGAAGAGTCCACCCTTGGCGCCTTCAAGGTGGTATAGGCTTTCTGGTGATGATAGTGGTGATGATGATGATGATGATGATGCTACTGCTCATGATGCAATGATGGTGATCATTTTGCGTTTGCGGCAGAGATTGTCATCATTCTGATGTTGATAAGTGATAGTAGCTATTACCTCTTACCAGTGTTAGTGTTGTCTTCGTCGTCATCACCATCGTCATTGTCATCATCGTTCTCATAGTCCTCATCATCGTCATGGGCAAAGGGCAGCAGGTAAGAGTAATACGACGGTTTAGGGTTTAGGATTTCGAGCCACATCTACCGCACCAAGAGAAAGAGAGCCACACTAGGCCGAAGATGCATCTACGCAATAAGTCCAAATACCCTCAGTGACTCAGACTCCGAACTGACCCCGGATAACAATGGAAGTGATAACAGTGAGCAACATGATGTGAGAACAGTTGCTGCTCTTGCCACCACTAGTTGAAGACTTGTGGCTCCGTGTGAATGTGATATAGCTACCATGAGTGGGGTGTTCGCCAGCTCGGGCTTATGTTGAAGTTACTGATATCGATGCCATTGTTGGTACACCACTGCTCTGCCTCACTTGCCCATTTCTGGATTGCGCTAGCTTTCACCGCTGCAGGGGTCAGTGCTAATGCTAGTCTTGTACTCCTTGCCTTTGCGTTCCGCAAATATTGTGGGCAACTGTCGGCTACTTAGCATGGCAGTGTGTCGTACTGCCTTGGCAGAACTGCGAGGGGCCTCCAGCGAAAGGGCTGCTGCTGCTACTCCCACCTTCGCAACTTGATAACGTGAGATGTCTGTTTCAAGCACCAAGCATGTCGAAGTTCCTGTCCCAATCCACAGCCATGCTCGAGCTGGTACAACTCTGTATCCCCAGCTCCACTAAAGCGGCACCAGAGGATGCAAAAATCCCTAAACCCTAAACCCTAAAACCCCAAACCCCGAAACCCCTAAAACCCGAAACCCCTAAACCCTAAACCCCTAAAACCTCTACAAACCTCTATAAACCCCTATAAACCCCCATAAACCCTATAAACCCCCTATCATCCCCAAACCCCAAAGCCTTCAGCTTCTTCAAGATACCCCTGAATCCATGCCTCCAAAGAGGCCGCCTCCGCTGCCCTGGAGCTGGGCATGGAGGCCTCTGCTCATGAGGGGATTATAGGGGGTTTATAGGGTTTTAGAGGGTTTAGGGATTTAAGCATTATTGTTTAAGGTTTTTAGGGTTTAGGGGTTTAGGGTGGGTTTAGGGTTTAGGGCACTGCTCGGCACAATTCAACACGTTTCCTGTTTCGAGAAGCTCGTGCTGGAAAAATGGGAAGCTAGGCACGATAGGTCTCGGAGTTTGAGAGTCAAAACTCATGCGGAGCGGAAAGATAGTGCAAGTTGAATCCATGCCGGAGCTAATAGATTAGCTTCGCGGGTTAGAGTACTTGTCGGTTTTTGCCTGCCCTAAACTTTGTTTCCGATCACCGCGCATCCGATGCACGGAAGCTGGCTTCTATGTTCTCCGAAAGACAATCCGCCAGCCGAGGCACCGCTCAGAAGGCCCCCGCCACCTGCGGAGCCGTGGTGGGAAGTGGAGGGAAGTCACGGTCATGGTAGCGAGATCGGCCAGCAACCTTGACTCCTACGTTCAGAGCGCAAAAGCTGGCGGTGCCAGCACGATGGGAGGCGCGCCTGCCATCTGGCGCCGACAGCTGCCTGAAAGGTAATGAAAGCTAGTGAATCAAGCCTGCGCCCTCTACGCGCACATCATGTTCGGAAACCTACCGCAAATCCACAGCTGGCCTCTGGGGCAGGAAGGGCAGATGCAGCACGCACGTGCTGAAAACGGCAGCAGGGACGAATGCCCTCTCTTGCATGGAAACTGTGTGGATGGATACGGTGCCGTATGTACATACATGTCCCCTCCGCCGCCCACGCAGCTTCAGGCAGCTTTCTTTTCGCAAAGAAGCAGGACAGCGCCATGCGAGCAACGCACGAAATCTCCGGCCCAACTCGAGAGCGCACCCCTGAAGATGGCTATCGTCAAAACCCTGGAACGGTGGAAACGAACCAGCAAACCTCGCCAAGAGCTCATGTCTCGTGCAGTGCTCGAACACGCCCTTCTGTCCCTTGGCTATCTACATCAAGGCTCTGCCCTCCGTCTACTTGGACTTCTCCTTGATCCTTAGAAAACTGCAGTGAAGTCGTGCCTACCTTTGGACGGAGGAAGAGCACAGGCTGTGTACATCGCGACGGGGTGGGCTGAATTCAGCCGGTCCCGAATGGGTTTCCCATCCAGCCCCTCGCACCTCGCAGGCCCCCCTTTCAGGCCTCCCCTTCAGACTCGGCAGCGCGTTCACTCGCCGAGCCACCTTCCTCCTCATCCACCTTCTCATCGTCATCCTCTTCCTGCCACTGGCTACGAGTGCTTGCAGCCCACTGTTTGAATCACGTCCCGAATCCTCTTCCGACTCGCTTCTCCGTGCCTCCCTCCTTCTCTCGACCTCACGCCTCAGTCAGCGGGTGCAGGGCAGGGCAGGGCAGGGCAGGGCAGGGCAGGGCAGGGCAGGGCAGGGCAGGGCAGCGCAGGCCCAGTGCTCTGCGCGCCTGGCTTGCTTGCCGCGCACTCGGCTTTGGATCTTCGTCGCCGCCAGCTCTTGCTCGCGGTCACTGGGAGAGACGCCACTCGGAGTCTCATCCAGCGGAAGCCAGGTTTTTTGCTTCCTCAACTGCACCTCGCGCCTGAACTGCAAATGATCTGCACAGGAATTGGCTTCAAAAACACCGCGCCTTGCTTGCTTGCCACGCACTTGGCTCTGGATCTTCGTGGCTGCTAGCTCTTGCTCATGCGATGGGGCGCCAAAGCTCTGATCGGAAGCCTCCCCATCCTCTGCAAGCGCTTCTGGCTCGGCTTGCCGCTTCTTCTCCACTTCGCGCCTGCCAGTTTGGGTGCTCATTGTTGACGCTCTAGTGTCGACAACAGCTGCAAGCACTTGTGGGAAGTCATGAAGTCTAGCACCTCGTGAATAGCACCTACGTCCTAAAGATCTCATAAGTTGAAGAATACTTGCGTGATGCCAGCAGCTGGCGCAACATGTTGCGCTTGTGCCGGGCATCCCCTGCGCATACCACGAAGTTTGTCACGAGTTGCTGCTATCTGATTCCGAGCCTCGCCCCTGAAAGGATCAGCCGCAACAGCTACAATGTCGCCGTAAACGCATGCGTTGCAGGAGTCTTCGGGAGGCGCGTGCTCCAGTGTGAGGCTCATTGGAGCGGATAAGAAAGCAAGTCAGCAAGAAAGAAAGAACGTAAGCAAGTTGATTATGCAAGTAAGTCAGCAAGCAAGGTGTGGCTAGCATATCACCCAGAGAACATGTTGACAATGCTGAGAACCTGGGCTTGGATGCCGCAAACGAACATTCGTAAGACTCACCGTCTGAAAAAATGCGGAAAAAGCTTTCGAAATGTCCATGTCTGCTGGAAATCTGCAGATTTGAATTTCACTCTTGCATCATCGAAACCTTAGATGGTCAGAGGCAGCCGGTGGTGGGGTGCCCACCAGTTTCGGACGCTTGCTGGGGGTTTCAGATCAAAGGGGCACAGTGTCGGGCCCGAATTTCGGAACAGACTCGGTCAGTTTCGGTGAGCTTTCTCCGACAACAGTTGGGACTCGGAGGCCAGCAAAACAAATTACTCGCAAGTCTTGAAACGGACCGCTGAGTAGCAACCACGACAGCAACTACACAAAACGAGGACGACGACAGGCACAACCACCTCGCCAACAGGGGGGTCGGGTTAAGATCCACGGCCATTGCCTCAAGGAAAGGAAGTGTTTAGGAAACGTGACCAACCACCATTGCGTGATGAGGAGACGGAGGTAAGAAACGTGATATAAAGATGTACCAGACTTTGAAGAGGAGGCGGGATCAACACCACAAAGTATGGGACTTATGAGGGGGCGGGACTAAATAGTACGATCATGCGCAGTCGCTGAACGAGTGCTGGTTTAAGAAATGCGATAAACCGCCATCGCCTGTTGAGGCGGCCGTTTTGAGACAGGTGTGATCAACCGCTTTCGCCACAGCAGGGCCGGTTTGAGATCAACCGCCTTGGCCTCAAGAGGGTCCGAATTTAGGAACCGGCCGTTCTTGTGGCAAACGCGGTTGATCACACATGTGTTAACGGCATCCTCAACACATGATGGCGCTGATGGCGATTGATCACATTTGTTAATCCCCGCCTCGTGATCAGACATTGGCGGTTCATCACGTGTGTTAATTCAGCCCGACCCTCCTTAGACCATGGCGGTTGATCCAACTTTGTTCATCCTGTGCTTTTGGCACCGAAATCATGGTGATGGCAATGGCCAATTGCCTTCACCGTGTGCTTTTGGCACCAAAACCATGGCCGTATCTTCCGAAACCCTGCGCCGAAACTGGACACCGAAACTTACCACTAGAACCCTGAAACTGGCAACTTCCAACAGTGGTGGAGCTTGGCAAAGTTGGACAAGCTTGCGCCTGGAACAAAGCTACGTGTGGGGATTCGAGGACAGCCCGAATGTGGAATGGAGCGAGGAAAGCCCAGCATCAAAGCCAAAGGACGGAGAACCGCTGCCGTTGATGCCGCGTGTCTGTTAAACAGCAGGATCGAGTGGGTCAGAGGCACAAAAGGGACTAGACCATGCGGGCTAGGTGCTTCTTGTAGTCCGAACGCAAAGGTTGTTGCGGCGCCTCGCTTGCTTTCCACGGATGCGACTCTGAATCTTGGTAGCTGCCAGTTCCTGCTCCCGGTCAAAGCCGCCACTGCTCGGGCTTGGATCCATCTCCTCCACATCCTCTGAATCTTGTCTGGCTCTTGCTGCCCGTGCTGCTTGCCGTTTGTCTTCCACCTCACGCCTGCAAAAGACTGCAGCTACAGCAGCATTTTCAGGTACACCAACAGAAAAAGCGTTGTATTACCAAGCAGGGAGATCGAACATCACACATGGAGTTCCGACGCACCTGGCATGCTTGCCACGGATGCGACTCTGAATCTTGGTAGCTGCCAGTTCCTGCTCCCGGTCAAAGCCGCCACTGCTCGGGCTTGGATCCATCTCCTCCACATCCTCTGAATCTTGTCTGGCTCTTGCTGCCCGTGCTGCTTGCCGTTTGTCTTCCACCTCACGCCTGCAGAAGACAGCAGCTGTGATTCTAGTTCACCTTGAACGGCTCAAAGTGTGCAAAACACAAACCGTCTCAAGTGCCTGGCATGCTTGCCACGGACGCGACTCTGAATCTTCGTGGCTGCCAGTTCTTGCCCCGGGTCGAACTCGGTGGGAGCTTCACCAGACTTCTCGGCTTCTTTGTCCGTATTTCTGGCGGGCGGCTTCCGTTCCATCTGGCGCCTGCGAAATCAAAAGCTTCTGCACAAGGCAGTGCTCACCTGAACTCCGAGCCTGGGAGGTTCCGTCTTCGCTGGCCGGGAGGGTTGGGCCGCGCGCGGCGCGGCCTCCCTGGCCAAGGGGATCTCCGGTCACCGCTTGATTGAAAACGCCGCCCTGAAGAAACAACTTCGCCCGCCTCCCGACGCTCTGGCTGGCCGTCGTGCCTGGCCTGAACACAGAGAGCTCAAACTCCAAAAAGAGACTGCCCCCCAAAGGGACCGTGCCTCGCTTCGGGCGGCCGCCGTGGACTCGCTGAGCTGCCGGGGGCCTCTCTGTTCTTAGCCGCCCCTCTTAGCCCAGGATGAGAAAAGGGCCCTCGCCTTGAGCTGCTTCGCCTGGCGGCTGGGCGACTTGGAGGCACCTTCAGCAGAAGCGCACTAGAAGAGATCACCGCGTCGCATCACGGTCGATGTCTGCTCTTTGCGGCTGCCGAGGTTTATTAGTCGCCTTGCAGGAGTTGCACAGGATCGAGGCCTGACGGAGTAAGGACTTGGACGAGCCTCTCACCTGCCCACTTTCAATGTTGCAGGAGATTCCGATGCTAAGCTCGAGGGTATCTTCAGAACTTGAAGTCCTAGATTCAGTAGAATCCTCGCAGAGGCACAGACGCAAACCCTCCCAAGCAGCACTACCAAGTCCATCTGCGCCAAAGCACGTGCCGGCGAAGCGTCACGCCGCGCTGTTGCAGGCGGTGCCCTGCGTGTAGCGGCTTATTCTGCACGGTTTCGGAGGCAGGATGTGCTTTAGGGAGGATGCAGGTCTTATAGGGAGTTTACGGCCAAAGAGATACGACACTAATTACATTAGAAGCAGTGGCTCTGCCATAAGAAAATACTCACAGGGCCTGGCCCTAGGAGTCACTGGCAGCGTTGGTGCAGAGCTGGGCTGGCGCCTGCAGGAATGCACAGGTGCGGATGTAAAACTTCGTCCTTACGTCCTTGCGTGTCCGATGCAGTGTGGTGTACTGTACTACGTGGATCTACGTGCTACATCGGTCGTTCCTGGCGCTGGCTGCACGTGGCGGAGGCCGCGGAGCCGGATCCCTCCTGGCTAAAACGAGGTGCAAGGGATCAGCAGCCAGAACAATATCCAGGTTGATACTTAGAGAATCAGAACTTGGCGGCGACATTCGAAACACTCAGAAGATGACAAATGCTGGCAAAAAGATCGACAATGATGACGATGACAGTGATGATCGTAAGACTCATGACCAGCATGGCCAGAGCAATAACAAGCTGACGCAAGGCCATGCCCCGAGCTCCCAACTCCCACCTGGCCGGGGAGTGGGACCGCGTTCCGTAGCCTCTTCACAGCTATGCCCATTGAAAGGTGTGGTTGTCAGGTTAATTTCTCGAGCCCTTTTCAAGCAGCCAAGCCTGTCGGAGTCGCGGGTAAGAAAGACCAGTGCAGCCTAAGGACACGGCAGTTCCTTGCCTGCTCCTGGCGCCTTCGCTTGCGGTGGCTTGTCGGCCTCTGCGAGAGCACCTAAAACTGCAGTCTGCCTGCACGAACCAAACCGAGAATCCAATTCGAGATCTTTCAAGCCCAAACCTCGAAACCACATTGATCCCGGCCTTTCCACTGGCCTGGTTCGCAGCGAAGCGGCGCAGCGCAGCAGGGTCTGCATTCCTGGGCTTGGCGACTGTCCGTTCTTGCCCGACCTGGGCCTGGATCTGTCATGGTGATGATGAGGATGATGATGATGATGACGATTTTGCCAACGGTGATGATGTCACGAAACTTGACGACAATCGCAACCTGTGACAAGAAGAATGGTAGCAGCACAGAGAGTAGAAACAATGCACAAAGTCATGATCATCAGGACCACATGACTCATGACACTAACAAGAATCCTGACAGTTCACGTCAGTTCTTGTCATCCTGCGGCCCTAAAGTCCTTTAACTCTTTCAATCCCCAGCGGCAGGGCCCGGCTCCGGAGGTCCATCAGCGCGGCGCGCAAGTCCCGAAGCTCCTGGAAAAAGAGGGCTCGTTTTTAGGAGCTTAGGGCTTAGGGCCTTAGGGCTTAGGGCTTTCAGGGTTTAGGGTGTTTCGAAATTTGCCCTTTTTTTGCCCCTTTTCGCCTGCAGATAAATTCGAATACCCAGGCGGCCGGCGTCGGGTGAGGTGGTATTTTTGAAGCTGACAGCACCCCAAAGAGCACCATTTTCCCACCCCCACCCGAGCTGATTGGAGGGTCAATACTTGCGTAACACTGCAACAGCCTCACTCCACGAAAGCACAATTGCCATACCTGACCCGAAAGAAGCTCGCTCATCGACAGCAGGTGAGCCTACCGTTCTTCCACCAGTTGCGTCGTCTCACGGTCAGACAAACCCTCCTCAGCTGCCGTGAGAACCTCTCGACGATGCTCCACAATGACGCGTCAAAGGTTGTGGCCATGCCGTTTCCCCATCACGCATCCACCGCTTTATTGGTTTTTTGGCGAGCTTCCTAGTCCTCGGCAAAGTCGGGGTCCATGAGGTACGAGCGGAACTTCGCTTCAATCTCCTCTGGTGCGATACTCCACCCATCGGCGTCGGTATGCCTTTTGGCCCTGCTGCGAAAGTCCTCCAGTAACCCTGCACGGATTCGTTGGACCTCGGCATCCGTCATCTGGCCCATGTGTCAAGAGCGGAACATCTGCATGATGCGAAACCTGGAGCCACGGTCCCGTTGTGGGGGCTCCGAAGTTCGATCCCAAACGGCTTTCAAGCCGCAGCTCCTCCTTGCGAATCGCTCGTCGTCATAGCCCTGCCTGAACCTCGACCAACATCGGCCTCCGTTGGGAGTTCTTCGACAAGACTAGAGCGACCAGAAACACTCGTGGATGAACTTGGACCCCCCCGCATCTGCCTGCGAAGTCTAGCCTCATCCAGCACCATCTGGAGCCCTTCCTTGATGTGGCCGATCACCTGTGGCAGCGACTCTCACATGGCGTTGAAGTCCTCCTCTCCAAGTGGGGAGGACCACCGGCATGGTGTCAGGGGACGCAGACGTCAGCGGGCCCTGCCCGGCAATGCCCAGTAGCAATACCCAAACCTCATGCATTTCAACCTCAAAGTCCTCCGTCGAAGAATAGGCACTTCGCCACGAAGGCTTGTAGGTGTGCTCCCGGCCTACCCCTGTTCCAAATCTGTTTGACACAGTCGGTTGAAAGACCTTCGGGCTGGCTTTCTTTCTGGTGAGCCAACGCTTAGCGGACCAGAGCTGCGGCTCTCCGTCGTTGTCGTCGTCGTCTGCGGCTTTATGTCCTCCCTCCGGCTGCGGAGTCGTGTAGAGGCCGGCCTAGCATGACGGACGGTCTTCACACCGCTGTCCGCGGAGTATGAGACGGTCCCGTTCCTCTGCGTCCTCCAGAAAGACTCAGACTGCAAGCACTCGAGGCGACGGTCCTGGGCATAACGGAGCAGCCGAAGCGCCGCTTCAGCTCCCACGCTGGACGTCGGCCGCCCTCTTCGAACGGCCATTTTCGCCTCCCGGCTGGGGCAATCCCGCGACGATAATTCCGCGCGGCTGGCGGTGGCGCTGGCGAATATGGCGTTTGCGCTGCCGCTGGCGCTGGGGCCGCGGAGTGCTGGCGGCCGCACGCGGGCATAATATAAATAAATAATGAAATAAATAAATATGTGTGTGTGTATATATATATGTATGTATGGCTAAAGAGACTCCCGCAGGCAGCGTGCGCCGGCGACACCGCCGCTTGCAAGTCGGGCTCCGCCACCAGCATCCGTTACTTCTTGCAGCGCTGTCTTTGCACAAGCGTTCCGCTCTTCTTCGGCCAATGTCCGAGAAACTTAGAATCTAGGGTTCAGGGTTCAGAGCTTCAGGGTGTCTTTTGAATTGATTATAGGCTTACGATTAGATCTGATTTGGTGTTTGGGGCTCTTGCATGTGTTGTATGGCTTAAGGCACCACGGCATGTACAGCCCGCCAACATCTATTTCTGTATCTCCATTGTCACTATGCCTGCATACATATATACTTATATACATATCATATATACATATATGTGGCAAGGACCTTTAGGGT